TTTCCTCATAGCAGAGGTGCTCCATCCTTCTAATCATCTTGAGGTCCCTTCCAACCTAGGAAATTCTATGATTCTGCAAAGTAAATTAAACACTAAAACGTAGATTATATGCTTCTAAAAAAACTTTCATTCCTACAATGAATATACGTATAAATTAGATCCAAAGATGACCTCATTATGGATGTAAAAGACAATGATGACAGTTTGATACTGCTTGTATCCAATTGCTGCTATTATAACCATTCTGACTAGTTATTATACATTTTTTCATCCCTCAGAGAAAGTATTGACTATTTATGGGAGAACTGTCTAAAGTATTTCTTTTTTCATTTTGGTAAGAAAAACATTGATGAAAAAGAAAAGGCAGCAAGAATTCAAGTGTCCTAGATTCTATTATAGTTGCTGTCTTATTCCTTCTCACAGCCTGGTCATTTGCCTGAAACGGAAAGATATAAAACAAAAATACAGCTGGGAGAGTGTTAGCATATTATGATAATGATCTTAAATTTGGTTTACAGAGTGTATAATCTTTTGTGGCTGATGGTTTGTAGGTGTTAAGGGAGAGATCAGAATAAATATTCTTGTGGGTCTCCTGACTTAACATCTGTTACTTCAGGCTTCGGGAAAGTAGATTCCAAGATCCAGCAGTGCTTCAGTACATTAATATGCATTAATGTATAGCAAGATTCTGGCAGGGTTAGAGTATATAAACAGCTTAATCTTCCTTTAGCTAAGAAGAAAAAATATGCGAGAAATATAGCCATGCTGGCATACGAGTATTGCTTAAATAATTGTAGAAGATATTACATGTGAAATGAAATTTGTACATGGCTATAACACATATGATGTCAAGCAAACAGCTGGAATTTATGTAGATTCGTCTATGTAAAGGTATGAATATGCAGTGTTTTACAAGTGTATGCACAGATGTCAGAAGAAAATTTTCAACCTACTTATCAGATTGAAAGGGTTCCTAGATAATTTAGGGAGCTTAAACTGACTTTGTGGCTTATGGAACAATTAATATTCCCCACATGCACAAATTTTAAATCAAAATACTGGAATACACATAAAGAAAACTTCAAATTAAGTGGAGCTGTGGTCGTAAATACACATAGCTAACTTAAGGAAAACATCTCAAAGAGAGTATTATGTTTAAAGGAATTTTCAGTTCATCATACAGTCCAGATTTGGGTCATTTGGTAGTACAGAGTCAGACTGCTTTGCCTTTCCTCTTGTGGCTTCATCCACTGCCTACCTAAATTAATAAATCCATATTTGAACTCAGCCATCAGGTCTTGTAGGTGAAGATAACATTACCTGCTTTGATCTGAAGATCTGTAACTGGCCTGGTGGTCCTGACCTAACTGCCACAGTGAAGACAGGCAGAGATGCAGTTTTCTTGTTCCTGATAAGGAACTGTCTGCACAATGATTTCCCTTAAAGGAGAGGGGAACTTAACATTTCTAGACAACTCTCAGAAAATGCAACCAACCAAACACTAAAAACAAATTTCTTCCCTAAACCCCTAAACAAACAAGACTGCCTCATTTTCCTGCAAGTCAGGAGAAAAAAGGAAGGGTTGATGGAACTGTTTTAAAATATATTAATGTTTTAGTCAGTGCTCCCTTGGAGTGAATATTAGAGAAGAGCTTTGATTATGGTTGGAAAACTTTTGTCAGTGCATGCTGTCTTTTTGATTCATAATTTTATTTAAAATGCTAAAAATATAGCAATAGCGTACAACAATCTTTTCTAATGTCATTCTTCTCTTTTCAACACTTGATATCTGTGTGTGGTTTTTTACATCATCTTTTTCATTTGCTCTCACAGCTTTCTTTCTGGCTTTTCTTGCTGTCTTTGTTTAATGGGAAACCAAACAGACTGCTAACAAGTCTATCTACATCATACCTGAAGTATTTGTGTAAGGGTACAATTCCAAATCCTGTCTGTAGTGAATGAATTTAGAAATAGTATGGTCAATTATTTCCCTGCTACGATACCTCTTTCCTGTGGAGTATTTACAGGACAATGGACACTTTGTGAACAATCCATACGACCAGCTCTGAGGAGCAGTAGGCCTCACTTGAGGCCTCACATAACTTTGGAGGTTATTAAAAGAATAGTTTATAGTTGCAAGTTGTGTGAAACTGTGTTTATAGTTGCAAGTTAAGGGAAAACTGTGTGTATGTGACCGATAAAAAGAAAGCTGAAAAGTCCCTGAGGTGGATTGGTAGGAGGGACTTTGGGCGGTGCAAATGACGTCAGGACACGTGGACAGGGCATCGGGACCAATGAACTAAAGGCATGAAGCGCGTGCACGGACTGAGCTGTCCAATCGCTTTGTTGTAATCACGTACCCAGAAGGAGCTGAGTGTATAAAAGCTAACTCATTTAAATAATAAACTGAACATCGTTTGATCATATTGATTGTCTGTGCGTTGTTTCTGAACTCCTGCCACTGCGCTTTCCTACATTTTTCTGTGTCTCATCAAAGGAACATTTTAAGTAAGACTACAGCAAGGCAACATTTATTGCAACGCTAATTCGAGAGAAGGTTGGAATGTTAACAAACATTAAACAAATGTTTCATTTTCAATTTTGTAAATATTTCCGTCTCAGCACAGGAAGAAGAACTTGGAAATAATTTTTAAAATAATTTTTTAAATCATTATTTTGATATTTTTTAAGTGAAATACTGTTATTGTGTTTATCAATAACAACAATTAAATATTTTTTTTAATTGCCTTAGGTTTATTTTCAAAATTATAAATATTATTTGATATTAGGTTGAAACTTTTTGCAAAGAGTTCCAGTTAAAAGGGTCTTTCTTTGACTCAGGGAAAATATTTATGTGGTTTATGTATTTCAAACAGGCTTCCTTTCTAATTCAAACATGAGCCAAACCACTGATTTTCCAAACATAGCTCTGTAAAAAAAAAAAAAATTGTAACTGAAGTTATGCTTCAGCATAGTTATGAGAGCACAATTTTATTAAGATAGAAGAAGTAAACATGATACATTTGGGATGTACTTACAGTGTAACTTCTCTGTCCTTCATGTTTCACTGCTTTCTCCATATGACCTCAAAGGGAAAAGCCTACCTTGTCACCATTCTGCTCAGTGGTTCCCCCCAAATGGAAGTAAAGAAATGTTAGATATGTCATCATATAAGCTGTTGGTTACATGTTTTAATGCTTCGTGTTTTAAAGTCTTTTAATAAATCCCTGGAGTATTGTCTATTTGGTGGTCCATTCCATGCTGAGGATGTTTAAGTCTGTTGATTTCAATATATGGTTATGCTTCAGCTGCAGTTCAGTGAGCAGCTGAGATCATCTCCTATGCTTCTGTCTGTTGAGATGAGTCCTAATGCCTTAAGTCTGAGAATACTTTACCTTCTCAGTAAAATAGACACCCTGTTTATCCTCTATGCCCCACCTACCTTGAACTGGGCAGGAAAATAGATTACATTTACTGGTGACAAGCTGAGTGTACTGGCCAGTGACTGTACTGCTTGGACAGGAAGCCTATAAGACCTTCCCTCGACTCCTTGGCAGCCAAGCTATTTAGTGAATGCACAAACTAAGATCTAAACATCACTCAAATCTTTGCTTTCTAGTCAAGTTAATTTCAAGTTGACCTCTGTATTCACAGAGCTATTCGAAAACACTGGCAGGCCCAGGGCAACTCTATTGTAGAAGCTTTTTTGCATAAGGAAGTAAGCTAAAACTTGATCATTTGGCACATCCTTAAAGCTTCTGTTGTTGATATTCAGGTAGTACTTAACATTTGCTGTCTGTCCATGATAATACTCTAATACATTTAAGGTAATTCAAAGAGTGGAGTCTATAATAACATGATGCCTGTGAAAGCACACTTTTAAACTTGGCTGGATTTGGCTTTTTCAAAACATGGAGTTTCTGGCATTTATTCCTTTAGATATTTTTTAAAAAATACTACTGTTAGTGGTACTGTTGCTAGTGCATGATTTGCAGTGAATCAGCTGCAGAGCATGGCATTCTACTTTATACCATGTACCTACTTTATCTTAAGTTTGAAACGCATTGATTTTATAATATTGGGTTGGTTTGGATTTTTTTTCCTTTTTTTGAATTGGGTAAGTTTAGTTATTGCAAAAGCAAGACTATTTGTAATGGTTTGGGCCAAATATAGTGCAGTCAGATGCTATGGAAATTTACCTTAAGAGCCTTGACAACCTCTTAATCTTGATATGTAGCACACCATCTATTCTAGTCATGGTCATTTAAAAAACATATAACGCATGTCATGCTAAATTGCACACTAGATGTTTGTTTAGTATGGATGCAATTAAACCATAAACTGAATTGCAATTAAAACTGAAAAATAGACCTGTAGCAATATTTTCAAAGTTTATAGGTCTTTATGCTAAACCACATTTTAGATTTTTCCAAACAACTTATAGTCATCTTACTGCCTGTTAACACTCCCCTCTTGATGAGGTAAGGGAAAATGGGCCGCAGGGGCCCATTCTGATTTGACAAGCTTTAAGTTTTAAGCTTATATATGGTTCCAAGTAGGGATGCAGGACATGCTGCAGTATTAAGGGCAGGTTTTAGTTTGCTGTGCCTGGAGATTCATTCCTCCTGCTCTGTGAATTGTTTTGATATCTGTCTCATACTTGAAATTCTTCCATCCTCGCACTTTCAAAACTTCCACTGACCAATCTCAGTATTGATTACTCATTAACTGTAACAATCCTTCTTGGTTGTTTGATATCTTTAATCTTTTTGTCCATCTCCATAATTAATCAATATTTATATTGTCATGGAGACAATATATCCACATCCAGGGTCATGCATCTGCAAATTCACAGAGTATGTTTGTAAGACAGACTGGTATAGAAACAGCTTAACGCTTTCCCAGATCGAAGAGGAAAGCATTTCAACATATTGTAAATACAAAGACATGTATGACAGAGTTACCTGTTACCTGTCATTGCATTTTCTTTCTACCAACAGGTCCCATAAGCAGCATTTTGGTGAATAAGTATGGTAGCCGGCCTGTGATGATAGCAGGTGGTATCCTGTGTTCATTTGGAATGATTGCAAGCTCTTTCTGCAATAGCGTCCTTGAACTATATATATGTATTGGTGTGGTTGGAGGTAAGAGTCCTGTTTAAAAGGTTATATTATATGTTGTTATATGTTGTTATATTAAATTACATATATTATTATACAAAATTATTTCTAATAATGTTCTACCAATGAGCCTTACTGATCAAGAATCCTCTGTGCATAGAGGCAATCCAAGAAGGTAGCAAGATCAGTTAATTTCAGCTACCTGAACTATCTACTCCTTTAAATTAGCTGGTAGGCTGTTAAATTATTTCTTTTGATAATTCAGAAGCAACTCATGAATTTATTCAGTCAATGATGTATGTATGGACTGTTCCACACTGCACTATAATAATGGTATAAAAATTGATTGGCTTGTGACAACACTTATTACAGTCATTTGTGTACAATTTCACATTCATTCTTCTAGCTTTCTATCATGTTGCACTGCAAGCAGGTTGAGAGATGCTAGTAGAATTTTAGTAAAATTGTGAAAGCTTGTACCACTTTTCTTTAGGTTTGTACATACATATAGTCTTTCAGAAAAGTATAAACTTTCAGTGCAATACTTTTCTGTTTAAAATCCGCCCAGTGTCAATAATGAAATTATTCATAGTCATCTATCTGAGGCCTAGATATTGCCTAAAGCAATGAACTAAAGTTATCGCAATGCCAGTGAATTAAATAACCTCCTTTTCAAAAGTTGTGGGGTTTTTTTAAATTCCCTTCTGAGAATAAGGAAGGCGAGGAGAAATATCAACAGGTAATAAATGAATGTATATTACATAAGAATATGTATTATTATGAATTGTATATTCAAGCTCATCTTTCTTTATGTTGGGACTAAAGGAGTCCTTCTTTATTTAGTGATTAATACTTAAATTTCTTACTTTTGATATCCTAAACTCAGGACCACTGAAAGAATAAAGTCAGAGTCCAGGAATGGACCATCAGAGAAGAAAACTTCAGTGCCATCAAGCAGATGCAAAGCTACTTATATCTTATTGCCCAGATGTCTTTATAGAGAGAGAAGACCTAGAGGTTCAGCTTAGGGTTCAGCTTATACATTCAGCTGATGTGGATGGGTGATCTGATCCGATGTGTGTCCTCTGTAACTCTTCCACTATTAGTGATGACATGGGGAACGGGAGCTGAATATGCTCTACAATAATTTGCTATTTTAAGCTCCAGTTTAGTAGACAACTTGGATCTTAATTAGGGTTGGAAAAAAAAAAATAGGAGATTTATGCATTTAAATACACCCTGCATTCATTATAGCTGAGGCGACATTTAATAACTTTGATAAAATGAGCCAAGAGAGAATTGCATTATAGCTTAGCAAATATAAAAGTGATGAGTCAAGACATTGGTAACCATAATTCCTCTCAATGTGATTGCCCTGACTCTATCATTGCTGAAACACATCAAGGAATTTTGGCTTTTAATGCAGTGCTACAGGGGGGAATGGACCAAATGCCACCATGACACAGTCTTGACATTAACACACGTAGACGGCAATGAAACTGTATTTCATCCTCTGATGCTAGTTGGTTTTTATCTTTATTGAGAATCACTGGATTAGATAGTGGTCATTTTAAAAATAACTTGAAAGAGGTGCAATATGTTTTTCAACGCATGACCTGCAATAATATTGTCTTTTATGTGTTGTTTAGGTCTGGGTTTAGCATTCAACTTACAGCCTGCCTTAACCATGATTGGCAAGTATTTCTATAAGAAGCGTCCCATTGCTAATGGATTGGCCATGGCTGGAAGTCCAGTGTTTCTGAGCACATTGGCACCTCTCAATCAATTCCTCTTTAATGCTTTTGGCTGGAAAGGAAGCTTTCTTATTCTGGGAGGACTTCTTTTGAACTGCTGTGTGGCTGGGTCGCTTATGAGACCTGTTGGACCGAAAAAAGTCCCGACTGTGAAAAAAGATGTTGAAAAAGGCACAGGAGATTCTGCCTTGCACAAAAACAACAAGAAGTCTTGTTGGCAAACTATGAATAAGTATCTAGATCTGTCCCTCTTCAAACACAGAGGGTTTCTGATCTATTTGTCAGGAAATGTCATTATGTTTATTGGTTTCTTTGCTCCAATAGTGTTCTTGGCTCCTTATGCCAAGCACAAGGGAATTGATGAATATTCTGCTGCTTTTTTGCTATCTATCTTAGCCTTTGTAGACATGTTTGCTAGGCCTTCAATGGGACTCGTGGCAAACTCCAGGTTTATCCGGCCAAAGATTCAGTATTTTTTTAGTTTTGCTGTCTTGTACAATGGGGTCTGTCATATCTTGTGCCCTCTGGCAAAAAATTACACTGGCTTGGTGATATATGCTGTATTTTTTGGGTTTGCATTTGGAATGGTTAGCAGCGTTCTTTTTGAGACATTGATGGACCTCGTTGGGGCTGCCAGATTTTCCAGTGCGGTTGGACTTGTCACCATTGTGGAATGTTGTCCTGTGCTCATAGGCCCTCCTCTAGGAGGTAAGAATCTATTTCTTTCCATTTTTTCAGACATTACAGCGTAATCTTGCAATTTAACATTGAATAAATATAAACATTGTTCTTAACGTTGTTTAATGTTTTTGCTATGACTAGAAGTGTACTGTAGCAGCAGTATCTTTGGGCTTTGCAGCTGCAGGTTCACATGAGAATCTAAAGGCATTTATTGTGTGCATTTGCAAAAAATAGATTAAGACTGTATCTCTACTGGCCCATAAATCCATGTGGTAAATGTATGTTTTCCTGATAGCACATAGAGCTAGTTTTGCAACCTTGAGTTACATATATTCATCTCAAATTTGCTCTTTGACAATGAAGTTCTTACTGTCTTGAATTGATTGAGTCTGTTTTTGTGAAGATCTCACAGAGTGGCTTATAAATTCTCCAACCTAGTGACAGCTCAAGGAGCAATCTCTTACACTCGCTTAAACAATTTTAGTTTGTCTACACAGAGAGGATTGACATTTCCAGAGAGAAGAAACTAGTAGGGGGGTGGCAGAAGAACAGGGGCATCCACAGTAGCCTAGGCAGGGTGCATGCATGGTGGGATTCCATCATGGAGCGTTGCGCCCTAGCATGATTACACACCACAACTCTGCTCACATTCAGTTCTTTCACATGTTCCTATAGCCAATGGATAAGGCAATTCAGAATGTGAACTGACTGAAAGATGGCAATGTTACCAACTTCTCTCTTTCAAGTGTAAGGGGAGCTTGAAGAGAGCCTAGGTGTATAGCTTAGACTACATTCATAACTTCTTGGCTTCTTGCAGCAAAAATGATGAAATCTTATGTAAAATATTTTCTATTTGCTAGCTTTTTAGTCAGTATTTAGTAATGCTGCTAGTAAGCTTTATAATTTTAAGGTCTCTGATGATATAAGAAATGAAAAGATAGATGTTCAAATCTTGTTGAGAAGCATTAGTGTGTATCTTGGTGTGTGTGTTGCAGTGTAAACCTAACAATATGAGAATACAAAGATAGTGAGATTGCCAACTTTGTGAACATATACTATACCCACATAAACACTGCCTCAGAAGTCAGCAAGATTATGTGTGCCTAAAACCATTTCTGCATATCGAAGTGTTTTAGATTACTGTCAGTATTTCTGTGAAAATAGCATTGTTGTGTGCAATTGTAAATATGCAAAAACAATTGCATATAACTCCTTTCAGTAAAATAATATTTGTACAAGTAAATTTTTAATACTTCTCAAGGCATTCCATATTTTTATCATCATTTAGCATACAAATTCATAAAAGTTGAACAAAATACATTTTTCTCACAGAGACTCTTCCTATGCCACCTAGTGGGGGGTCTGAGCCTGTGACCTCTGGAGTGCAGCCTTTTCAGTCAGGTTCTGAAATCAGTGTTAACTCTAAAGATATTAAATCTAATATTTATGGAGCAATAGCTTACACAACTATTTTTTTCAGTATATTAGCTTTTCAGGAGTTTTGAAAAACATTTGATTGTGCTATAGTTTTATGAATAATTGATTTAACTTGTTAAATAGAGACAACAAAAGGAATGAACACATGGAAAGGCTAAGTTCCAGTTTTGACTAGTTCATAGCCTTTAAAATATTATGCAGAAGTAATGCTAATTCATAATTTAATTTTTAAACATCAGTTTTATGAGACTGCTCATCAATAAAAATCAGCAAATTGCACTATTTACACTAATAAGTGAATTGTACACTTGCAGTGCTATTTTGAGTTTTTTCTAATACTAGGTTTGTGGAAAAAAAAAAAGTCTAGAATAATTTAATGACTTCTAAATGTGTATCCGGTGAATAGACTAGCATTATGTCTTCAACACAGTAAAAGCCTCTAAATACATACTAAATTGAAGTGTGAAGGTTATCCTGAGAATTTCAGTTATAGTGTAGCAGAGTTCAGAGCTAAGTACTTGGATATGTACAAATGTTGATTTGGGAATTGTGAAAATTTAGAAGGAATGGCTGATAAATGGAAAGAACTGTTATAATTTATTTTCCTTGCCATGACCAAGTTAATCACAGAGGTGTGAACGTAATTTTTACGTACAGGCCTCATAGTTTAAACCTCATCAGTTAAGCATGATGGTTGAAGGGAGAAGTCTTTCTCTTTCAGCAGTCACAGGAAAGTAAACTTGAAAAGCAGGCATTTAATGCACAGACAGCAGCCTAAGAAGGCCCATACTTCTTCATCCTATTGTGTGTATACAGCCTCAGTGAGTACCAGGCATTCCAAAACAATAGAACAATTAGAACATGAATAAAATGAAAGACTGAAAATAAAAGAGCTAAAAAACTGTCTGTCATTATTCATTAAGCTTTACTTACATTGTTCTTCAATATTCTATAATTGTCAGTGACTCCAATGACAATTTGCTGGCTTCACTAATACAGGTTTTGTTATAGTTCCACTGTCTATGTTAGAAAATTTTAACATGTTGAAAATACTTTTCTACTCCTACTTCAAAACCAAGGAATATATAGATATTTCTCCAAGAGAAGGATGTGGATTGTATTTGGCATCCTAGTCTAAATACTCTTTCTTGTCTTTGTATTTCAGGTTGGTTAGTAGATGTTACTGGTGAATATCAGTACATGTATTTTGTCTGCGGAGTGATTGTGACTGTGGCCAGTATCTGGTTGTTCATTGGCAATGCCATCAACTACAGGCTTTTGGCAAAAGAAAAGAAACTAGAAGATGAGAAGCAAAAAGCTCAGAAGAATGCTGACTCAAAGGAAGTGGAACCATTAACAAATAACGAGAATGAAGATGCTTCCAGCAGAGCCGACAAAGCTCTTGAAGATCCCTCAGAAAGAGAAACCAATATTTAATCTGCATTATAGCTCAGAAGGCAATATTTATGACTTCCATTAGGAATCAAGACACAGGCCAAGTTTTGTGGTAATAATGATCAGTCACAATATTGGATGGGAACAGATTTTGCCCTATGGCAAAACTCTAAGTTAAATTTCTATCTACAGTTTATTTATTTCAGCGATACAAAATTAAGATTACAGAGGTAGTGATTCCATGCAAAGGAATCCATCAGACTTTGACTCTGGACAATCAAGAGTCAGGTAAACCAGACTATAAAGCCTTCCAATGACAAACATTTTTGTTTCAAATGTATATCTACTACAAAAGTATCTTCTACTCTTATTTGGGAAGATACTTGCAGTCATCCTTAAAGTATGGTTAAAGTCAGTTGAAATAATCTGCCCAAACTCTACTTACCACTAATATTAAAGAGAATATAAGTTCAAAGATTTTTTTCAAAAGAGGCAGAGTACCTGACTGAAAGCACACAGAAACTCTTTTTGTATTTTGTATTCCCACTAGATAAAAAATACATTTCTGTATAAACAATTATAATGTGGATGTAAAAGTTAGGGGTAGAAGATGAACAACTAGTGGGCACCATCTCTAAAATACAATAAACAGCTGATTTATAATATATTCCAGAAGTAGTTTCCTCCTGTGATAGCTGACTACATTGTACTTCAACATACGCATTTGAACACAAAGTACATTCAGATCTCACTAATTCAAACTAAGCTAAAATCTCCCTGTACATAAAAGATTTAAACCCAAGATTTGCATTGCTAACAAGTGTGGCAATTAGTTTGATTATGCATTCCTATGTGGCTGAATGATCTGGATCAGACTGTGAAGCCTTTTTCCTAAAGGGACTAGATTCAGAATCTGCTGAAGTTAAAAGGATACTAACCCTTGGCTTTTGTGGCCCAAAACAGTTTTGTTGCAATGACTTCAAAGTAAATGCTTGGCTTTATTGGCAAGTCACTAGTTATTTGATGGTTTCCTGAGAGGAGATTTAAGGTCTAACTTCAGGTCTTTGCAGATAGGTATCTTCCTACCAGTTCCCTTTCGCATGAATTTAGTGAAAAGCTGCTGCTTTTTTTTTGTAATGCTGCTTTGAGCAAAAATGCTGCAAGGCATCTTGACAATGCCAATCTAGAAGCTTTGGGAAGGAAGCTTTGTCTGGGAGCTTTGACATATCAGTTCTGTGCAGAATATTTAGTCTTGTGTGTACAATTTCACACAGATACTCATATAAATTAAAATGTACACAATTGTCCTCCTCCTTTAGACAAAAAAAAGCATAAGTCTACAGTTTTACCTTACAGAAATCATTTAGCATTGCATTTGAAAGCTAAAAGTGCAAGCTTCTGAAGGTAATAAATGAAAATATTTCTGTTGTATTTCTAGGTAAGGAAAAGTGCTATTTGTTTTGGAGAGATGCATATAAATGCCTCAGAAATTGTGAAAATTAAGGATCTGATTCATAAAACATTTATGCACTGTTTATGCAGGATAAACTTACATTGAATTCCAGGAAAAGAATATCATTCCTTTTAGCCCTTTTCTAAGTCTCAAAAAGTTGGAAATATAGTGCACAGCTGTGGTAAACACACTTTAAAGTGCCAATAACAAAAGAAAAAAATTATTAGTAAAATTTAGCAGAGTGCTTTTAGGAAGTTATTTCTTAATATTATTATGTTCAATATGATTAATTTTTCTTCTAAGAATTTTGGTTGTGCTTATTTCAGTTTTTCTGGGTTAGCCTCTCATATACTATGATTTTCCACAGTAGTGCTGAACTTTTTAATTATCTCAGCACTGTTTTGGGGGAGAAGCATCATGAATCTACTCTCAGCATGGTACGGAAGTTAATACCTACTTTTTACCTAATTATATTCAGGAAAACCAGACATCTCTAATGAGTTCTGTAGTTTTACAGAAGCATCAGCAGCAAAATATATGCATTTCAGAATTTTGGGAGAAAATATGTTTTGGATGTTCAGATTTGAGCAGTGTTCTGTGTAAAGGAGAATGATTTAGTCCCAGTAAAATTATAGTTCTTCTCCCAGCCCCCAGCTTCAGAGAGGAAATAAATACATTGCATCTGCTAGCACCCCATGAGATGGAAGCATTGCTCTCTTTTTTGACTATACAAACATACTGAGTGCATTCCAGGACCTGTGGAGACCCCGTGTGCCCATAGCCAGAGGGTGATAAGGACTCTCATAGACACTAAGCTTTCATACAGTGAGGAATATTGGTTATAAATACTGGATTGCAAAAGAAGAACAGAAATTTTAGCTAAAGTGTAATCATCAGGAACATCAGTCTGCTCTTACAGCAACTGGTTAAAAGGCAGAGATTATTTGAAAAGAGATTAATACAGAGACTGAACAAAAATGTCTGAGGCAAAATTGTAGGTGCCTGTTATCTCTTTGCAAAAAACAGCATGAGTAAGAATACGGGGTAGAAGACAAGTGTCAGCTTTTGACTGAAGGCTGTTAAGTGTTGCTGTTGCTGAGTAAAAATGATGATTAAAAAAGTGTCTCAGGAAATATGCAGGGAATTTGCCTGTTCTATGCAGGATCTCAGAATACAATACAAAATGGCATAGGAAATAAGGGAAAAACAAGGTTCCTTGAGCCACAGACACACCTGACCACTAGTAACAAAAATTATGTTACTATCTCAGAGGAAATAAAAATTTCTATAAACCCTCTACGGAGATGCTGCTCTTTCATCTCTTGTAAAGTGTGGTAAAAAATAATAGGAATGAAAGAGCTACTTTACCACCACTGACCAATGTACAGTTTTTAATCCTGTAAGGCTAAATGATGCAGCAGACAACTGCATTTAAAGTAGGAAGACATTTCCTTACACCTCTTTCATTACTTTTCATCTTAATACTAGCAATAGAATAAAAACCATCAGCATACTCTTGATATTACTGAATATTAAAGAAGTTAAAATCCAGAGATTAATGGAGAAAATTGGAACCATATCTATGCAAAAACTGCCTTCAATTAAAAACCTGTGTCTTCCAAATAACGTGTCCTAAGGGGGCAATTGCCTCATAGTAGAGGTAGGTGATATTTCTAAAAGTAATGATAATAATAAACTGTCTTGAATCAATGATATACTGAGCAACAAAGTAGCAAAATGAGTATAACTTGCCTTCAAACCCCTGAATATCACTCTTACTTGCACAGACCTGTAATTTGTACTGTAAATCATTTCATCATTACATTTCCGCTTTTATAATTAGACCTGAGTATATAAACCATCTCTCTAAATTCCCCTGGTTTCTTTCAATTACCTCACCCTCAGTCTGAACCACTGCAGGGTCAGGACTGAGAGATTCCCCTGCCCAGTGATGAAGAAATATACCACATGCATCTGTTATGCACTATAAAAATCTGTAGTTTCTGTCAATCAGTGCAAGCAAATCCTTAATTGGTCTTATTCTCATTTATACTCATGTATAGCTCATTCTTTTCTCTGCCACAATATGACTAAGCCTAATTATCCTCTTGCTCTTATTTGATCAATCCAGAAAACATAATGCCAAATTTTAAAATTAGTAGGAAAGTGGATAACATCAATAATATTTTTTTCCCATTTAACATCAACGTCAAATTTCAAGTTGTTTTAGTGAACACATAGAGATACTTTTCTTTCTTTAGGTTTTTTGATATAGAACTCTCTACTGGCTGGAGGGTTCTCTATTGCCCTTTCCACTTCTCACTATTCATTTTCTCTACTATTTCAGGAACATATAAAAATTTCACCCCTTCCACCTTTTTGCATTGAACTGTGGTTGCAATTGTTGTCAGTTCTGTATTTTCATTCATGAGTTCAAAAAAGCATTTTTTTGTATGAAATCCTGTGCATAAATAGTCAGATTACAATGCTTTTATTTCAGGAGTGTGATTTGTGAACTGTTTTGACAGAGCTAGGGAAAATCTACTTCACCTTAAAAAAGATTTTTTAAGTGATGCTGTCCTTATGAGAGGAATTTCAACTTTTACTGCTGAAATGAATGGCAGGAATTTCACTGATATTGTGATTCAAAATTCGTGTGAATGTTGATGGTCACTTTGCATATCAACATCTAGTGTGCTTAAAAACATTTGTCAATATATACATGATTTTTCCTCTTCAAGAATTCTTGTTCCTCTTGAAAGTTTCCCACTTCCACTACCCCATCGCATTTTTCATTTTGATGTAACACAGAGAATTTGGACCAGGAATGTAGTGACTTATCTTTAATGCTTTCTTGTAGTTGTTTTTCCTGAAATGCCACATTTACCATGCTGCCAAATGCAATGTTTTTCACTTGCTACTTTCAGGTCAGGTTGTGGGTATTAGTGGAGAGGTATTACTGAGATACAGAATAAGCTACAGATACCACATAAAGCCAGATTTGGGGCAGCTATCAGGATTTCACTAAACAAAGCCAGTGACCACTTTTATAGAGGAACATGCTGACGACACTGACAATTTTGCCTATAAAAAAACTGAATCAGGCAACTTTTGTTAGTTTCTCTATAGATGACTATTTTTCTACTCACAGAGAGGAATATAAAGGGAATTTTAAAATAATTATTTTCAGAGATGGCATATCAGTTTTAACAAGGCTGTCTGGATTTTTTTTTGGGGGGTGCACTTCTGATATTTGTGCATATGTATACATTGAAAGTTCTTGCATGTACTATCACCTTTTTAATCAAAATTTGCATAAGCATTGCTATGTGATTTCAACATAGTTTGCATGTTGTAATTTTGCAGTTCAAATTTTTCTCATCATCTACCTCTTAGTTGAAGTTTGGAGACTTGCACAATCCTGGAAGAATAGAGTTGACAAAATGCACAATGGTAAAACCTGTACAGACTATTAGAAAGTCTCACAAATATTTGAAGCTGCTTACTGTTCTATTTTTAAGGCAGTGCATATCTATGACCAAATTCTTTGAATCAATTGACATAGCTTTATTAAGCCTAAAGACTTAACCCATACTTATGAAGTTTTTGCATCACTGACCTGGTATAAAAATTCAAAGTGTGATTTAGATATCCGGAGTCTACTGACCTTTCTGCGAGATGTTGGCCTGCCTTTCTTTTTTGTTTGTTTTCTTATAATTTCTGAGTTAGTGAAATTAGTAAAGTTAATACATCCAGTTTTTAAAAGTATTACAGAACACTTTGCATTTTGTATCCCTGAAAAAATGGTTGTGGTTTTTTTTTTTTAAATTTAGAAATAATATCAAATTTTAGCTTGTTTTTCCTTTCATGGGGCAGTCGAGGGAGATGATCACAACATATTGAGTTGGGGCCACGAATAATGATTGTTCTTCATTCGCTCTTTATAAAACCAGAGATGATTGTTTCTTCAAAGATATTCTTCAAACCATTCTTGCCTTCTAGGACCTAGTACAAAGTCCACTGAAGCCGACATAAAAATACCTATCAAAGAGCTTTATCAGATGTTGGGGGTGATGTGGCTTCAGTGGAGGCTTGAGCCTTATTTTCTCCATACCAAATCTCAGGAGTATCAGCAAATGTGGAATTTGTTATAACTGGCAAATTTGCTATGCCTGCATATTCCTAACTAATCAGTCCCTAAATTAACGCACAATGTGTATTATTTTAATAGTCTGTGTATATAAATAAATTTTAAGAATCCCACCATAAACTCTGAATGTAGATTAAAAAATATAGAGGACATATTTAAATAAATATCCAAATAAATATCTGTTAACCCCAAAGGAAATTATCTGTTTCCTTTCAAGCCTTCTTTGAGCAGTGTATAATCATTCTTTTTCTTTCTTCTGGAGAAAATGGTTTATGTCTTTTGTGAATGTATATATATACATATATATATAAGGGAATATATATGCAGAAGTGGTATGTGTGTATATATGTATTCCCCTATATATAAAACTCTAATTTATATATATTATATATATAAAATATATATAATATTTTACAGTAAGTTACATATTGTGCCTGATAAATTCAACATATTTGTAAACAAATAAAATACTTCTACAAATGACAGAAAAATTTAAAGCTTTTCTGTAAGAGTATGTGTTATTTTTCACTTTCTGCCAGATTTATTTATAGTAGAAAATCGTTCAAAAAGCTGCAGTATTACATAACACTGATTTCCAACCATGATTCAGTTCAAAGCAGCCTAAGATCACTGAGAATTTTCATTGATGTAGGTGGTAAACCCTACATTGTTGGTGAATTTGATTGTTGGGTGTTTTTACTATGGAAATCTTAACTAAATGATCTTTGAACAGACTGCAGTAGACTGAGTTTTCATTTATTGTGGTATGTATGACCAGTTCGTACAAAGTATCAATGGACGTGATATTCTTATAACAAGTATGGAAAATGAGAATACTCTTGGGCCTACAAACAAGATCTTGTTAAATTATTATGGGAAACTCTCCAGAACACTAGTCACTAAAAACACTGATAATTTATCATACCTTTTTAGAGGTTTTGGTGTTTTTATTTTGTCTGCAAGTGGGCAAGCCCATGAAAAGTCTACATGTGGCTCTCACTCTTTAAAAAAGTGTTACCTTAAAATTATTGATGGGTTTTTTAAAAGTGGTACATAAATCACTTACATAAATACCCTTCCTGCAGAGTGATATA